AGGCGCCGAGCGGGCCCTGGGCCGGGATCCCCTGCAGCTGGGGCTGGCGGCCACCCCGCCTAATTTTTCACTTGTGGAGCGTTTAGAGGGTGGAAGTGAACCTCCGCGGACAAGAGCAAGAAAAACCGCAGAAGACATAGGCAGCCGCAGCCGCCCAGGCTGTTGCTCAGTTACAGAAGGACAAACAGCGTGGTTCCTTTTCCTCTGGGGAGATTGCGCGCTGACTTTTTTTTTCTTTCTTTCTTTCTTTTTTCCCTTCTAACGTTGCTTCTGTGACTCCTCGTCTACAAAATACAGGGTTCCCCTTTCATGACAAGAAACTGAGAGCGTGTGTTTGCCAAAGAGACGAGATAAACACTTCTCGTGCAACCACTCAACTGCGAGTCTTCCTCCGCTCACCTTTGGCCCGCTCCCCTCCCCCAAGTACAGAACTACCGCCCAGCCCAGCTGGGGTCGCACACCACAAAAACCTTTTCCGGCTAAGTTTTTAAGGAAATTAAACTGCATGTGGCAGTCTTAAAAGGTGGTTTGTTTTTTTTTTTTAATGCAGTCACCTGGAGCTATTTTTCCCTTGGTGCGTCAGAGTGATAAGATCTGTAGGAATGTGTGACTTTTCTCTACCTGTGTCCTCATCTGCTCATCAAATGTGGAATGTGTGGGAAACCAGATGGCTGGCCAAAATAAAATAATTGGGGTAGAGTTATGAGATTATTTCGTTGGAGAAAGGGTGATATAATGACACTAACCATTTCTAAGTCTGCAAAGATACAGAGAGAGGCCAGCTGTTTTCCATTTCATATGGGAGGTGCAGTTCTCTCACCTGCTGAAACTCAGATTCTGGCCCCCACCTCGGGTTCCAGTTACGTTGCTCTGGGCCGGGCCGAGAATGTATTAGGAACAGGCTGCCCGGTGATACTGACACTGCAGATCTGTTAGAAGGTAGGGACAAAGGATCTCAGTTGGACTCAGGGCTCAGTTTTCTGATGGGAGGGCAAGGGGATTCTCTCCCAACCTCCTCTCCCCCCACCCCATTAGATTCTCATTTGGTTGGATGGGATGGGGGGGTCTTCTCCCTTAAAAAGCAAATGCCTCGTATTATAAGAGCAATTCAAAAGTGAAATGTCCACATTTCAAGGCACAGCACCCTGTCTGTCACTGTTCATCCAGACCGGGTCATGTTCAAGGGGAATTTCCTGTGTTTCCGTACATGCTGAATCGGTTATCTCAAGTTCATTTCATCTCAATGATTCCATGAATTAAGTACTAACAGTTAAGCCCTTACTCACACATATCACTTTTCAGTATGAGTGTATGATACTTAGGACCCAGAAAAGTGGTAGTCTTTAGTATTTAGAGGTAGGAGGAAAATCAGTGTAAACAAGAATGGTCAAGGAAGGTGATAGCGTTTGAACGTATGGCTTGCGGTAGACCTTCAAAAATGGGTAACAGTTGGATAGAGAATGTCTGCTCCTGGAAGATAGGCAAGGACAAGGGACAATGGGGTGGGGCATGAAGTTGGAAGAGGGTGGAAGCCTCAAAGTTGGTATCAGATCATGGAGGACACTGAATATCAAGCTAAGAGAACTGGCTATTATAGAAGCATTTGAGAGCTCTTAAAGGTTCGGGCGTAGGAGCTGCATGGTGCAAGGGAATTTAGGGAATGGAAATCTTGCAGCAGGTTATAGGATGGATTCCAGGGGGGCAGCTGGGGGGTGCTGACACCTGATGGAAGGGGCTGTGGCAGGGGTAGAAGTAGTAAGGAGAGCTTCAGTGAGGTTGACACCAGTAAGAGTGAGAAATGGGGAATTTTAATATGAACAAGTTGGCACCATCAGCATTTATATCGACATCACAAATTGTAATAAGTAAATATCTGTTAACAGTAGGAAGTGAAGATTAGAGCCTAAATAGGCGGTCTGCAGAAGAGCAGCTCTAAGTTCACGTTCCAGCTGGTCAGCTCTTCTTTGAAGGCTCTGGGGAGGTTTCAGAGCTCTGTCATGGCTAATGTTTCTATGGAGAACTTAACGCTAAGAAGAAATTATAAAAGCAAATGTTACTTTTTTTTTTTGCACATCCTGAAATTAATCTTTGGGATTTCAGTCTGCATTCACTGGGTATCAGTACTATCTCACAGATCACTTCTCTGCAGAACCTCAGAAAAAAACATGTCTGCAGAATTCTGGGCTATTTTCTCTTAGGGTTTGACATTGGAGAGTGATTCAGATAAATACAAGGCAATGTGCCAGCTTACTTTGCCATCTCACTGTGCTTGCAAAAATATTAAAACAAAAAGTAAGGCCATCTAGTGAAAAAATGTTTTTTTAATAAAGCAAGAAGAGTTTTTTTCTTTAGAATAAAAGATGACATTGGAAAACTAGTAGACTTGGTAAAACAATTTTTAAAGCAATATTATTTTAAAAATGATTGTTTTCTGAGACCCACCTCTCTCCTTCTGATTAGTTGGAAGAAGGTGTTTGGAAAAAAAATGCATCTTTGTTTTTATAACAATAACAGATTATTTTTATCAAGACCATCAAACAGGATTTTAAAAGTATGAGTAAAGATCTTGGCATGCAACTTTAACATTCCTTTCACCTTTGAAATGATTTGGTTATTGTCCAATAATATCATGTTATTGATCATTTTAACATATTTACCAGAAGAGTGACCCATGTGCTTTCAAAGCATCACCCAAAGAAGTGAGGCATGAAAAAATGACAGGAAAGAAATCATTCCAGCCTTTTTCAAAGTCCTAGGAGACTTTGGGTTGTTAAAATTCTCTAATTCATTCCCTGTTCCGGAAAAAGAGAGATTCTGAGAAGGAGCAAGAAGTACACTTAAGTGCAAAGGAGACCTCTATATCCCAAAAGGGAATTGTTACAGTCCAACGTCAGATTCAAAAAAATAAAAAAATAAAATAAGAACAGAAATAAACCTAACAGTCAGTGTTTCAGTTCTCAAAAACAAAAGTCCCGTAGTAGTGTCAGGGTAGAGAATAACTGTAGAACTGATGGTCTCTGCATTGTTTTATGGTCAAGGAAACAGAAACAGAGAAGTTGCAGGATTTCCATGGTGATAGAATAATAGAGCCATAGTGACATTCCGGGTCTCTGCCCATTGCCTTTTCTACTGTTCATGTTTTTGTTTAATATATACATATTTTCTTTTGATGAAGTCCTTTTTCACTTCACTAAAGCCTATAGTTCTGGACAACTTTCAAACATTTTGTCAATGTTAAACCAGCAAGACTTCTTGGCAATCTTGCCTTTTTCTCTTTGCTTTTAAAGTTCCAAAGAAATCAAAGCAGGGAGAGACTGAACTTTAATATTGGTAATCAGTCAATCAATCAATCAATCCACACACAGTTCCATTTTCATTTTTCCTATTTCACAGTTTCTGAAAGTTAGAATTCCAGGGACTCTGAGAAGGTGATCCCCAGGGTAGCCTAAAATGGAAATGAGGAGGAGGAAAAAGCAACATTAATTCTAGGTGGCCCCCTTCACTGTTTATCCTCTTTACCCTGCATTAACTTTCTCAATTGCATTGATCATCTAACATAGCATAGAATGGATTATTTGTCTACTGTCACCTCCCACTAAAACATGAGCTTCTTGAGAGCTGGGACTTCATCTTATTTTGCACTGCTGTGTGCCCAGGACTTGCGGCAATGCCTGGAATGTAGTAGCTGCTCAATTATTTTGTTACAATCATGAATTTCCTAAATCCTGATATGTACCAGGCACCATACTAGAAATAGTTGTAACTTTCAACCTGTTAACAACTCTGTGAAGATCTGGTTATCCTTATCCAACAGTGAAGAAACAGACTCAGACTCTCATAGGTAGTACAGTAAATGGCAGCGCTGAGTTTACCTGAATCCAAGCTTTTTCCCCAGCACAAAAACACATCTCCTGTTCTTCAGACTAATAAATTGAACAGCAAATTTCAACAGGCTCACCTTCTACTAAACACATGTTCCCTTTTCCCAGGTGAATGCTAAAGGAATTGCTATAAATGCCCCAAATTACCATCATCTATTTGCCATCACAGAGAACTAGGGATCTGGGGTCCCATTTGTGTCCGGGCACTACTTCTGACTGAAGTTTTACTAATACGCCTCTGCATGTCCCTGTTGGTTTTATACGTATATAATGAGATAAGATCTGAAAGGTGCTTAGCTACATCTACTTGTAAAGTTGTCCTGAATCCATTTTTTTTAAATTATTTGTGATTTCCCATTAACTATAACTTCAAGTGTGCTTTATCCTCATCTCAGATTGATCTATCTTTGGCAGTAGCTCTTGGTCTCAGCTTTAATTTTCTCTGCCTGACTCTTATACTCCCTTCTGGAACATTCTGTCTTCATTGGTAGATGAGAGGCAAACGAACTTCCAGCCAACCAAGGAGAGCTTAGATATTTTGAAAGAAGTTTCACTGTTTATCAGAAAATAAAAATTAAGGCACTCATTATGTTACCGACCTGGGCTCTTAGGCTCTTGTAATCAAGAGAAATTGATAAGAAGCCAGAGGAGAAATTCAGGCAAGGCTTTGTTGGGGCTCGTGCTGCAGGAGGGAGTGAGAACATGAAACAGGTGCCCTCCTGGCTCCCTGAGGAGGGCAGGCTGGTCCCTTAAATGGGGTGAGGGTTGGGGCGGATTGGTGTGTGGAGCCTAAGGGCTGGCTTGGGTGGTCTGCCCACCCCAACTGGCTTGGTGGTACTGTGTGCAGGGATCATGCACAATACCCCAGTTTTGCTCAGGGCATCTCTGAGATGGCAGCTGATTTATGGCCTTTTTGTGTCCTATTTGTAATTGCCCTGACCATGCATGCACACAGTTACGTATAGTCCCATATAGCTTCTTTGTATTCTGTTGCTCGATCAGACATTTGTCCAGGTGCAAGTACTCCAGTAAAGGGTCCCAGGTCCCAGCCTAACTCAATTCGGCTGACAAAAATGAAAATGTTGAACAAGCA